AGAACACGACCGTCGACAACCGCTTCGAGTTCGAAAAGGAATGCCAAGCAGCAGTGCACGTAGATTTATCCAATTCCAAATCACCGAAATTATCGGCACACAGTAGCTTCTTTGTGGAAAGCGAAACGAATTTGAAAAGCCTCCGTTCAAATTGAAGGGTTGCTGGAGGAAGAAGTTTTGAAACTTTTTGTAGAGAGCAAGAGAAAAGAGAGAGAAAGAACCTTTAGAAACGCGAACGCAAAAGCCAGTATTTTACCCATCAAAGGGAGGGAGGAAATGTTTTGAAAAATCCTTTGAAAAGGTACTCGATCTCTTTCAAAAAAGTTAGGGATGAAAAGGGATATTCGCTCTAGAATCAAAGGTCAAGGTTTTCAATCAACAACTACTGACTGGATGACAATCGACGTTTTCAAAACATCCAGGAAAGCGCTAGAAAAAGTCTTTGAAAAGACAAACAAAGAGAGCGAAGCGTTAGCAAAGAAAATGGCCTCGTTGAGCAAGGCCCATTGAGAGAAGACACGTCGCAAATTCGGAGCGAGGGAAGCGAGCAAACGAAGATTCGAGACCTTTCCACACAATCGCAACCCCAGAGGAACCGAACTACCGAAGCTCAGTTCAAGGGGTGTAGCAGTTTTTGCGGAGTTCGTGCAAGAACTTTCGATGGGAACGGACCGATATCAGATGTAATCGGACCGATATCAACGGAGCGAGCTCATTTGCATATCCGCACATTAGTATTATTGTAGAGACTACGAAGCCCGCTACGCGGGCTTGCCAGTGACCCTACGGTCGAGTACATAGATTAGCCTCGGAAAAGACAAGAATTTTCTTAAAACCCCCTGTGAATGATAGTAAAATTAGCCTCGGCAAAGACAAGAATTCTTTCGAAACCCCCAATGAGTATGCAGATTAGCCTCGGAAAAGACAAGAGGTGTATCAACCTCGATTTGAAAAAAATTGGCTCCGCACAGGTCACGTGATAAAAAAATTACTCGCACTCCTGTGACTATCGCTAGTCAGGGGGTCGCCTGAAATAGAGAAGGGGTAGAGGCTCCCCCCTTCCTAGCGATAGTCACAGGAGTGCGAGTAATTTTTTTATCACGTGACCTGTGCGGAGCCAATTTTTTTCAAATCGAGTTTGATACACCTCTTGTCTTTTCCGAGGCTAATCTGCATACTCATTGGGGGCTTCGAAAGAATTCTTGTCTTTACCGAGGCTAATTTTACTATCATTCACAGGGGGTTTTAAGAAAATTCTTGTCTTTTCCGAGGCTAATCTATGTACTCTACCGTAGGGTCACTGGCAAGCCCGCGTAGCGGGCTTCGTAGGGGAGCTAGTCTTCCGTTAATTGAAAGTTGCTTCAAAACATTTGCAGCCCAGGTCTATTCGTGTTCCTCGTTTAAATATTTTAATGTGTTACCCCCTAAGTCTCCTGTTTTAATTTTCCATAAAATTTCATGTTAAGACTTCCCAACCTTACTTATCTGTTTACTCCTCTGACAAATCAAATTAAAGTTGAATCTATCTTGCAAATCAGAATAAAAAAACAATGTCCTCCTACATTCTTTCAATTTAATAAGGAATGCAAGCAAAAAGTGTAATATCATACAGCAAGCAGGCAAGGACACTTTAAACGTGACAAAAGGCAAACATAATTAATCTAATCCATAGTCACGCCTACTGTGAGTAGCATATACTATTGGCAAGAGCAGGAAATAATTGCTCGAGGACAAAGTATTATTTACTTGCAGCAACAACCCAATTGAGATAAGAGCTATTTTCGTGTAGGAAGATAATGCCTTATTACCTTGATTGTAATTCAGTAAATCCTTTTAGAAAAGTAAACCCAAACTTAATTACTTGCTGGCTCCAGATACCGATACTTGCGAAATTCCTAATAGAACCAATCCAATGAGTAGTTCCTCGATTATTACGATTACCAATTAGCAATATCATAGCTTTCATCACCATCTGAACCCCTTTGAAATCAAGGTTAATAGCACTCTTGACTTTCAGAGGCTAATCTTACTATCCCATTTTGGGGCCATAGGGTGCCCGCAGAGCGGGATTTACTGGGAGCTACTCTTCCGTTTATTAAAATGTGCATATCAATTTGATACATAAACGGTTGCAATATCAAGGCAATACAGAAAGTTGCTGCAATACATTTTGTAAGCCACGATCTATTTGGGGTCCTTGCTTAAATACTTTCACGGGTTACCCTCTTTATTTCTCCTGCTTATTCTAATTGCAATGTTTTAAAACTTCCATTTTCTTTTATCTCTCGGTGAATCGTGGTGCTCGTTTAAATATCTTGCAGGCTTATCTAAAAGCTTTGTTTAATATTCTGAATTCTACTTTAAACTTGACAGCTACATACTTCTGCCAGCCCCCATCATTTTCATGAGTTAATCCTATAATTTCTCCTATTTAGTCAGAATCAAATTTTTGAGTTTTCCAATCATACATTCTTAGCCCTCGTCGACTTATAGGGCGCTTGAAAATATTTTCTAAGGCCATTCTTAAAGCTGTAATGTTCATTTTGAATCCAACGTGAATATCTTTATCAGAGCATTTCGTTCAATTCTTGTTCACTTGTGATGCTGTTTTAAGGTATAATTTGGGGCCACCTTTAAACTTCCTCTGTTTATTTTGAATCAAACATTAAAGTTTTCCAACAATAAATTCCTGTTAGCCGTTATTGGTCCATGGTGCTCGTTTAGATATATATCATCTAAAAATTTCTTAAGAATTAATGACTCCTCTTCTAAACTCTAAAGAGTTATAGAGTTATTACGCAGTTCTATACATTTGAGGTCCACATATCACATCTTCGTCACAATTAGCTTTTGAAACACTGCAGGAACAAAGCAGTTAAGAGATAGAAAGATAAAAAACGGCCAAGTTTCGTGCATCAGAAAGGAATCTTACTCTAACAACAAATTAACAAAATACAATTTACGGACAACAGCTAATCTATATTATATAACTTTAGTCCTTTTCTCCACAGTCAAGTTTTTTCTTGTTTCATCGTTTGATTTAACGCCAGCATAAATGCCATAAATTTCGTTTCGAATGTCCAAGAAACACGTCTGCGTCGTAATTATTGCTTGAAACGCTCTTTGATCTAGATGAAGAACAAAAAGATTAATGAAGATGTTATTCCATGGTTAATGAAAGCACGTTTCAAAGAAATCGATATACAGCCAATCCATATTCTTTTAGGCACAAAACTACGCAAGAGGTAAAAAATTCAGAGAAACACGCTTGTGGCGGGTCTAGCGACTCCTTTCAGCAACCTGTTTTTAGTGTAATTTCACCCAAATAAGCATAAAGTCATTTGAAATGGTTTCTAGAATGATTAATTTACAATTCCGAAAATGATGCAGGCACAATCTACCGTAACAATCCAGCTTCCTTTCAGTACAAAACCACGAAATGAGGTAGAAATTCGCCGTTCGCGGCGGGGGTCTAGCAGTAAGCGACGGGTTTTTAGTGTAATTTCATCAAATTAAGCATAAAATCATTAGAAATTGTTCTTGTTAAGCGAGCAATACAGCAAATCCATTTTCCTTGAATTACAAAACTACGCAAGAGGTAAAACATTAAGAGAAAAACGTTCGTGGCGGGTCTAGCGACTCCTTTCAGCAACCGGTTTTTAGTGTAATTTCACCCAAATAAGCATAAAGTCATTTAAAATGGTTTCTAGAATGATTCATTTACAATTCCGAAAATGATGCAGGCACAATCTACCGTAACAATCCAGCTTCCTTTCAGTACAAAACCACGAAATGAGGTAGAAATTCGCCGTTCGCGGCGGGGGTCTAGCAGTAAGCAACCGGTTTTTAGTGTAATTTCATCAAATTAAGCATAAAGTCCTTTGAAATGCTTTCTAGAATGATTCATTTACAATTCCGAAAATGCTTTCAAAGCTAGAAATAATTTTCACTCAAGAAGCAGGCAAATCCCATTTGTTTCAGCGGGAAAATCGCACAAAAAATGAAATTTTAATCGAAAAATACTCACTTGTTGTACCAAAAAGACAGCGAATCCGATCGTTTATCTACAAAAAAAGAAGGCGGTTAGGAAAAGTTGCTGCAAAGGATTCTCGTTAGGCATAAAAAGTTGGGGGCTGGCGGGATTACAAAATTCGCATTACAACGGGTTTCCTAGAAAATCAAATTTTCTTGCATCAAGAATAAACAGCAGGAATAATCTACCACGATTCTTCATACTTTGATTGCAATAAAGCCAATCCAGTTTCCTTGTAGCACAAAACCACGAGAAGAGGTAAAAATTTTTCGTTCGCGGCGGGGGTCTAGCGGCCGGTTTTTAGTGCAATTTTATCCAAATGAGCAGAAAATCATGTCAAATAATAAATTTCGAAAACACGTAAGAACAACAGCGCTTACCTGTATTCACATGCCATCGATTCTGATGCCAGTGAAGAAGGGGAACAGCCAGCAGCCATCGCAGAACAAAAAAAACGGGCAGCAGCGGGTGAACATAGCTACTAAAACGAAGAAAAGGAAGATCGTCAAAAGCACGAATTTAATGGCTCTTGCAAACGAAATAATAACAAACGGGGTTTCAATCGATCGATCGATAAAAAGGAAAGGAAAATGACGACGAAAAATTTTTAAAAAGCTAGCGAGACTCACCTGTAGCTGTAGCTGTAGCACTGTAGCACAGAACACACCGTCGACAACCGCTTCGAGTTCGAAAAGGAATGCCAAGCTGCAGTGCACGTAGGTTTATCATCCAATTCCAAATCACCGAAATTATCGGCACACAGTAGATTCTTTGTGGAAAGCGAAACGAATTTGAAAAGCCTTCGTTCAATTTGAAGGGTTGCTGGAGGAAGAAGTTTTGAAACCTTTTGTAGAGAGCAAGAGAAAAGAGAGAGAAAGAACCTTTAGAAACGCGAACGCGAAAGCCAGTATTTTACCCATCAAAGAGAGGGAGGAAATGTTTTGAAAAATCCTTTGAAAAGGTACTCGATCTCTCTCAAAAAAGTTGGGGATGAAAAGGGATATTCGCTTTAGAATCAAAGGTCAAGGTTTTCAATCAACAACTACTGACTGGATGACAATCGACGTTTTCAAAACATCCAGGAAAGCGCTAGAAAAAGTCTTTGAAAAGACAAACAAAGAGAGCGAAGCGTTAGCAAAGAAAATGGCCTCGTTGAGCAAGGCCCATTGAGAGAAGACACGTCGCAAATTCGGAGCGAGGGAAGCGAGCAAACGAAGATTCGAGACCTTTCCACACAATCGCAACCCCATAGGAACCGAACTACCGAAGCTCAGTTCAAGGGGTGTAGCAGTTTTTGCGGAGTTCGTGCAAGAACTTTCGATGGGAACGGACCGATATCAGATGTAATCGGACCGATATCAACGGAGCGAGCTCATTTGCATATCCGCACATTAGTATTATTGTAGAGATAGTTGTTTTAATATCGAGCACGTTCATTGATGACTTGATGACGTTCTTTAGTTGAAACTAAACTGTATAAGCTATAGTGACAATAAGCTCTTTTTGGGTGAGCTGCATATGGTCTAATTCTATAAAACGAGTCCTTGCTAGTGTAATTTTCAAAGTCAAATTAGACTGGACTCAAAATTTCCTTCAAAATGTAAGAATGAACTTCGATTTGAACTGATTGGCTTTTTGTCAAATAAAAAAGCAAGCAAAATCGTGAGAAAACTTCATTAGAACGGTTCTAATAAAGAATGGTTTTATCAGAACCGACTGGAATCTCGAAGGCACTTGACGCCAGTCTGAAATTTCACAAAATTCAAGTCGTAGATCTCCCAACCAAGCGGCCATAAGTGAAAATTGTACTGGCAAGCTCATTGCTTTTACACTTCCAACTTTTATACAGGAAGATTGCGAATAATTTGAAAGCTCTAATGATTACGTAGCAGTAATGAAAAAGTTGCGGCTAGGTAGAGATTTTCACTAGGTTAGATCAAACTATAGCATTTACAAATATTTTCATAAAATTCATAGCAAATAATGTCCATTAAATAATAACACTAGCTTGCAAACTAAAATATGAATAAAATTCTAGGCTGTACAAACGTACTGTCTTTTGCTGTCTTCTTTTTGGCCGGCTCGCTTTCACACTTTCCTTCATTGGTCCAGGCAGCTACCTGAAAAGTTAGGTATAAAAACGATACCTGTCAAGAATTCAACATACAGTCACGCAAATAGGGGGTGAGAATTCATACCTAACATCACAAAGAAAGCGAAGAACACGACACGAATGAAAAATAAAGTGAAAATCGTACAATTTTGGTGGTGTGGCAAGTAATTTCCATTCCCTTTTTGTAATTTGCTCTAAAGATTATAAGAATATACTTACTGTAAATGAGTATTCCGTGTTTGGCTTTAGCCTTCTGGATGTGCAATTTCTTTCGATGCCCGAGTATATCACCTATGGCCGACGCAAAAAGTTCAAAATCTCCAAGAAGTAGCAAAGTTGTATTGACTTAGTTTCCACTGGTAAGAAAGCTTTCCCTAGGTATAGATTCTGTCGGGATATTTAAATGGTTTGACAATCATTTAGTATAAAAATTCAACTTACATAACTAAATATACCATGGTACAAGTGATTTCAAAATGAAACATTAGAAGCTTAGAAGAGTCCACGTTTATCAGTACCTAAATGACACATTTGCTTGAAACTTTAAGTTTATAGCCAGGTCATCGTGGCTTCTACCTACCTCTCCGTCTTGTTTAACTTCATAAAAATTTATTCTTCCAAGAGGCTCTTCAGGAGGATTCCACTGCACCAATATTTCGTTGCGGCCTAATGAATGGAGAGTTGGACGCGGTGGGGCGTGCTCACCTGCAAAAAGAAAAAAAATTTAAGTTTACATGGTAAAAAGGATATAGAAAAACCGCAGCTAAAAATGAAGCTCCTTTAAAATAAAGTCTTATTATTCCTTTTTCATGTACCATTGATGTATTTCGAAAAATACATCATTATCTTTTAGAGAGATATGGATAACATGAGTGCGCACTAGACAAACCTAAAGAAATTCATAAATAAATTTTATGAAAATCCTAAACAGAATATCAAATATTGATAATTAACAACAGCGAGTTTGGCCTTGGAAAGATCCCTTAACAAAGTAAGGTATTTTGAGCAACAAAGATTCAAAGGGCGAATCTCGAAAACGTGAGGCGACTCTCTTACTGACACGTGTTACAAATTAAAAAACGCACGCAAGGGACGTAAGTCAGCTTGACTGGGTACTTACGAAGATCAACAGTTGCACATCTGATATCAGCTTTATCCCCGCGCCCTGCTGACGTGAGAGCATACACCTAAATAGACAACGGTGTTGAAGAAATTAAAACCGCCTCTCTGTCTGACACTTCAATGAAGATACACTTTCAAGAGGATACAATAAAAACATATGAAATGACATAGAAAATGAATTTTAAAAGAAAATGATATTAAACAGACTATATTGTTTTTGAGAAAAATGAAATTTGTTGCTAGTTTTAACGCCTCGGAAATTTACAGTCTCTCAAATCTTTGAAGCGACAAAAAGTTTTTGGAAGCAAGTATCGACCAATGAGTTACTTTTGGCCTGGGGTTGTAACATTAATTCATCAATTGACTTTCTTAAGAATATGGAAGTTCAGTTCAGTTTTGCAAACAAGCTTTGGTGGTGAAAAAGTGAAAATGGCTTTGAATAAAGCAAATATTTCAAGACAACTAAAAGCTTCTGTCAGATTCTTTTCAGAGAATAAAATGTCAGAACATTTCCAATAGGAAGCGGCACTCATTGGACAATCTTCTTTTTCAAGTGCTTCATTTCTGATTCGCCCAACTTGATCAACAATATGGAATCTAAATTTTCGAAAAGTAATATTTCAAATAATTGTTTTGGCGTTTTATACCCTAAAATTTGTTAGACAAAAAACATTAATATGTATCGAAATGTTAACATTTCTCCAAGACACCAAATGTTCTAGTAATCGTAAATTTAAACTTGTCTATGTTGTAGCCACTTCCTAGAGGCATTAAATTAATCTATTTAAATACACTGAAGTAGCTTAAAGCAAAAAAGGCAAGAACTTTGTATGAAAAAAGAAAACACATGTGGCTGAAAATGCATTTTGCAAGGTTACAAAGTTTTTCGATGGGGTCATTACCCACCGCACCTAATGCAAAAAAACGGAAAATCACCTATTTTATCTGAAAACCTTTAAAATATATGAAAACTTTGTTAAATTTTATTCTCGTTTAGATAATCAAGACTAGATAATAGACCTCAAGTCAGTTTAGATAATTCTTCGGATATTAAATAAGAACTATGTCATCGAGAACAATGATAAAATTACCTCGAAAATATATTCAGTTCCTGGAATAAGATTGATAAATACGTTGGACGTGTCACGTGTTTCTGTGAATCCGTTTCTTCCTGGAAATGAATTAAACAAAGGGACAATATCAGTTTCTTTAGTATTTAGGTTAAATCGAGCGTTCATACAGTAAGCAACTAAATACTTTTCAATTTTTTCAAACTGTATTATTTTTTCTTTATAAATAACTGAAGCAGAAACATGTCACATCTTCAAAGTTTATTGTTTTTTCTTCTATAAAATACCGTTAAGGACTTCTGTAATTTCAAAAGTGATGTTCATTTGGTGTTTAAAGGTGCATTTTGATATTTGGATGTTTTTAAATATTGCGTTGCATGTGTTTAAATATTAACATAGTAGCGAACTCGTGAAATATTGAAATGCTGAAAACAATACTTTAGGCCTAAATGAAACGTCACTTTTGACATAAATCATCGTCATATTTTGAATTGACTATGATGTGTGAACAAACCTTGTTGATAAATGTGGTACCCTTTCACAAGTCCATTGGGTGACTCAGGAGGATCCCATCCAAGTTTAAGTTGTGTTGTCGTCCTTCCTAAGACTCTTGCATTCTGCGGTGCACTTGGGACTACGAATATAAGCGTATAAACTATTTTATGCTCTTTCAAAAAAAAACCTTATTTTAATGAATTGCCTCAGATTTGCTCCGGAAAATAATAAGACCGCTAGATAATGAATTAGTGGCTTTGGGTCATTTTGCTACCGAGAATCAAAAAAAAAAAATTTCACAAATATTTGAGAAACAAAAAAGATGCATAAATATCCAATTTTCTTGATGTGAAGATTGAATTGTAAAAATCTTTGATTAGAAACTTTGAATCTGCAAAATATTTCACGAAACCATTCATCATTAAGCAAAGTTTGCTCTCCTGAAACAAAGACCCTTTTTGTTGCAGTGACCTCCGAAAAAGGTTTGACAAAACAGAATTTCTATTTTTTTGGGGGCACAATTGACTTCATATCAGCAAAGTTCAGCAGAAAACATCATTGAATCATTAAAATGAAAACAATACATGGAAAGTGCTTAGTAAAACATCAAAATTCCAAGATATTTTCTGGCGTTTACCTGATTCTGGCATTGCAAATGTGGCAGCATCGCTGATAGGACTTCGATCACCTTCCGTTGATGTTTGCAGTCGACAAGAGTACATCTTTGTGGGCTTCAAGCCCTGCAGCTCAAATGACGTCTCCAAGCCAGAATATGCAATTTTCTCCTCTTGTGCAGCTGAAAAGATAAACTTTTCATATTAAAAATTGGTAAAACAAATGGTCACATAGTCGTTATTAAGAGCTAAATCTTTGTGGTACTATTGTGAATAATCATTGACGTTTGACCTTTTACAACATTCTTTCGAGTTTAATCAACATTATTAAACACGTAATTCCCTGATTCATATGCCCTGATTCAAGGTATACACAAAGGTCACTGTCGGTGCTTGAGGGGTTTGGACTCGTTTTGACACAGTGACTCATTTTGACAGTGACTCGTTCTGAAGGTAGTTAAGGTTTACTTACCAATATATAAAGTATACGTGACTTCGAGGCCACTCTTGGGGTTTACCGCGATCCATTGCACATTAGCAGTTGTAGAACTTTCAACTAGAGCGACAAGTGAGATACTCAAATAATACCACACGCACAATATTATTTGCTCAATACTCAAATAATCTCACACACTAATAAGAAAACCCTTGGTTTCATGTTCAAAACACTCTAAAAAACATTTTCAAAACACTCTCATTTCTCATTCATTGATTAAATCTTTAACATTTACTGCGCGATAAGAGACAACTCAAGTCATAGTCAAGTACCTGAAATGGAACTCATTCATAAGTAAACAAAAATATGTGACTGCAAAACAGCACAAACTTATCTACATGATCAGGCTTCAAGTTGCAATTAACTGAGATGTATACGTGCGAGATAAATATAACGCCTTTAAAACGGTAAAATACCAGCACTGCCTTAGGTCTTGGAAAACAAACGCCAACATGCTATGTGGTACTTAATCAGCCCCGCCTCCTTCCTCCAAATAATGTTGATTTATTGATGAGTAACATGTGAAAACATTTCTCCATATGTTATCAGTCTTAGCTATACACAATCTTTTGAAGGTAGGAGCAAGGGAATTTTAAATAACGAACTGGAAAATGTAAAAACAAGAAAGAGGTAAGAAAATTGGAAGGAATGTTGATATGCACTTCAAGTAAACGCACTCTTTACGACTGGTCTTTCCGGCTTGCTCAAATGTTTTAGTATTTCCAGAGTAACAGCGACTTCTTCCTTGATATCATCCTTCACTCCAAACGCTTTGGTCCTTTCCTACAACAGACATCTACCGCATAAACAAATAGGCATTCAGACAAAGTAGCGAATTTCTAGTTTTGGCTTTTCATGCACGAATTATTTTTTATAAAGAAAACCGAAACCGAGTCCTCAAATAAAAGTACTTAAAAATTATGATTCAAAAAGTGAAGATTTTGGGTAACCATGTGACTTACAATATAACCTTAAATAACTTATTCACAAATGTTGACAAAGACCACACCAAAATTTTTCTCTGTTAAAGAGATAAACAATTAATAAAATACATATAGAAATTTGAAATACGCAACGTAATTCTATCCGTGGCTTGGAGAGGGGGGGGGGGCGATTTCAGCAATACTTTGTGAATAATTCTGCTTCAATTATTTAAGGGAAAGGATAGACCTGTTCCGTTAAAAGCCCCCGTCAGTTTTAATGAAGATTAGGTTGATCATTATACATCAGTGTTGCTCATATTGCTCATTGACTGGTCGACAACAAAGATTGATGGTTTGTTTTTTAATAAGCCTACCTTCAAAGCATCTTTGACAATTTTATGATCACGAAGAGCCAGGCATCCTTGTTTTTTGCTGGATATTGTACGAAGCGTCCTGATACGAAACAAATCATACTCACGAGATATTCACGATTTCCTAAAATTACTTGAAAACAGAGCTGTAAACATATGATTTACAGTGTGTTAATTTCATACAATATTAGTCTCATCAGAAAAATCGTATGAAAAAGTTACTGCTTTCAGTTAGAAACAAGGCTAAACAATGCGTCCATTTGCTGGAACGCTTATTTACTTTATCAAAAAAGAGCTGAAATTTTCCCTTTGAAGATAATCAAGGACCGAGATACCGGGGGGTGGGGGCCTTGCCCCTCCCAAAAAACTTAAGTAGTATAAGTAGAATACTTTTATTTTGTAAAATAATACACTTATCAGGGCTGCCCCCCCCCCAAACAAAAAGTTGTATCTAGGTCTTTGAAGATAATATCCCAAAAATTAAACTCGTAGATAATATATAAAAGCTACAACTACTTAGACACAGGGTAACCACCATGTAGCCATTTGGTAACCACTTGTAACGACAAGGTAACGACAAGGTGGCCACTGCATAAGTAAACGACTACGTACTTGAATCAGACAAACACTTTGCTACGAAAATGAAAGCAATAAGACTCACAGTGCCACAGTTAAACAACACTTCTTTGGCAAGTTAAACATAATCGATACCAGGAAAACCAAAAGTCAAGGTTATCCGTTCATTTTTAAATTTGGGTAATTACTACCCTTTTTGGATTCGTATTGTCCTGTCATTGAAAACATAGCAAATTAAAAACATAGCGAATTGAATACACAGCAAAAACATAGAAAATAAAAGTCAAGTGAAATATATCTTACATAGCAGCAAACCAAGCAGTTTCGTCATCCTCAGTTGACAACAAGGTGGCCAACCTTTGCAGCATCTCCTCCCTTACTTCATGTGTAAGCAGCTTTGATATCCCGTCGGTGCTACCAGCAATGCAACTCAATGCAAAACAGGCATTTTTGTTGCAGCCACCGTCTTCCGAGCCAAGCATCTCCGTTAATTTTCTCATCTAAAACACAACAAAAATTGCATTAGAAAGAGACAATCTATTGAAACTTTGAAAATTCATTTTGCGCTATCTTTATTGCTTTATGAGAAACAAAGGTACGAAATTGCATTTAACATTTGAGGCCTTATATGTGTTCCTGTATGCTTGGAAAAGGTTTTTTTTTGTCATAATATAGTCTTGAAATTCGTTGTGAAGAATTAGGTGAATATTTGCAAAATTGTATTGTTTCTAATTTTTGCTTCGGAATATTTTATCAAAAATTAATAAAAAACAGCTTTCGGAAAAATTCATAAAACTCTCAAGGTAAATTAAATAAATAACATGAGATAAATTGAATAATCAATATGATAGCATGGAATCTAAAATATGTTGGTCATTGCTCCCAGCCTCACTCTGGACCCAGAGCCTCAGCACAGGATAGTATTCTGTGGCCTCAGTGTAAAGCAAGATGTGTTAAAAAGCGTCTAGGAAAAGTCAAGACTCAAGACTACAACTAGAAAGAACTGAAAAGTAAAAGCAATTAAAATGTGAACAGGCTAAGCTTTAGAAGGAGCAACTTCAAAAATTCAAAAGCTTTGAAGCTTCATGCAACCTTTTTTCTTTAGAAGCAGTTTTTTCTTTGGCATTTTTATGATCAATGGCACTAATTAGCTGTGAAGACCAAACTATAACAGTGTCTGGTATTAACTACGTGCTGAAGGTTTAATATGGATGGCTGTGGTTAACAGAGTTATTTCTATCCACCGCAGTTGGTTCGCTTTGACGCCAAAATGTAAACGGGAAACGCTAGCCTGATAACCAGATGATCAGGTAATGATAACCAGAGTAATGGTAACCAAATAGCCTGATAATCAGAGCAAGCACAACTGACAACGTGAAAACAACTGACAATGTAGCACTTTCATTGAAGCCAATAATCTTTACCACTAGCCCTGCTTGATTAACCAACATAATTCATGTGTGGTTTAACTGAAAACAAGAAACTTCAAAGGGACAAAACTATTTCATACTGGCTATTACAAATTCTTATAATTTTACAACTAGATATCTCAACAAGTCACTTGGAATCCCATCAAGAGCTCAGAATTTAATTGACTGCTGTTTTTAAACAACATACAAACTAAGCTTTAATATTTAATGGATTGAGGTTCTCGTTACAACATTGCATTATCTTCTCCACATATTGTTAACACATGCAACTTCTCAAAGAAAAGTACAAAGAAATACCATTTGATCTGATTTTTTTAACATCAGCATATGTCTTCTGCCAGATTCCATGTCGCAAAGCCTGCCTATTGCAAAAGCTGCATTCATACCTCGACCTAAAGATGAGAAAACAAAATAGATACACAATTTGCATATAAAAATGGTTACACTTCGGACCATTCACAACCAAAATATCTACTTCATGTAAAAGTATGCATTATACATTAGCTTAATAAATTTTTCCTATCGTACTGTTTATAACGAAAAGCAATCGCATCGTTTGTTTCAAATTGCCTCGTGCATTTGTTCTTTCAATATCATTAAGGTAATGTTTTCATGAAAACACACTTCTTCGTTTGCAGGTTGGGTGTTCGATACTTGTCTACTAAAAGAAAATTTGAAATCTTTTCAACGACTTTGGTACCATACAGCATCCGAGATTGACCACGTTTTTTTAGCTGGTAATGTTAGGGAAAAGCTCAGGAGCTTATAGGTAAGCCCTAACAAGGGAAGGGGAGGCGGGATTTGGAAGAGAGTAAGATAGATCAAGCTTATCAGTTCTTTAATAAAGTTAAGTTGTGAGAGTGTTGGAAACAATTATCATTTATTATTATCTGTTTATTTAAAGTAGGCGAAAAAAAATCGCTACAAGATAAAAGCTAATTCAAGCCTACTTCAAAGTAAAATTGTTTGAAAATAAAAAATAGCAATACATATATATCTATCATAAAAAACAAGAACCCAACCTGAGCCACGAAAGGTCTACACAGTTTACAGTTGCATTCCTCTCCTTTCCAAGATTTTATTCTCCTTTTAAAGCAGGAGAGGGTATCTGATTGTTTTATGTCATTGGGAAGTGCCTGCCACAATCTACTCCCTAGAAATGATATTGTCTTTAAATCATAGCACGTAGTGCGCACTTGTGGCAGTAGTAGATTGTGGCAACTTCTCAATCCATACGTACTGTGTTTTTCAATAAAGATATCCTTCATGAAAGTAGGATTGAGCTCCCATTTTGTTTTATAAATTTCAATCATCAACAGTTGTAAATTCCTGATGTGGATTGGGACCACATTGCTCTGAGTAACATATGTCAAAATCTGATTTCATATCTTTGTAAGTTATCCGCAATGCCCGTTTGTAAATACGATTAACTTTACTATTAAGTGTCCTATCGCAGAACATCCAAACAAGAGGACAGTAGTTAAACTAGGACAAGATAAATGCCTTCATTATTCTCTTTAGTTGTTCAGTATCAAGAAAGTGAGAGATTCTCGAGAAACCATGTATCTTTTGGCCAGCCTTTTTTTGCAAATGGACCTCAATTGCTTTTTTAAGCATAATGTTTTGTCCAGAATCACTCTAAGTAGCTTTTCTTCCGTGCTCCCTTTTATCAGGAAGATGGTAGAGCATCCTGAAGTTTACAAGATCTAGGGAGGAAGGAAGAGTTGTGCGATAGAGTTCGCAATTAAAGTAGTGATAAAAGGGTTTATCACTACTTTTATCTAGCAATCCATGTACACTGAGCAGGTGGTATACAGGAAACCATACAAAGAATTGGGAATATTTGACAAGTATTGTTAGCCACTGGGCATATATCTAATACACATTCGGTATCTAATGAAGTCGTTAGAATGAGAACTTGCAATTAATGTGATAAATATTTAGATACATTGACAGCTAAGTCCTACAGCTTAGTAAAACTATACGAAGGAAGCAAAATGCAAAAAGTTCTTACTAGTTTAGGACGCGGCGAAAATTTGAATCTCTACAACCTTCGTTTGAAAAAACATGAATATCTATTGATTTATACTTATGCGATAATTGTTATAGATCGCAATCTATCTCATTTACGCTGGCTCGAAACATATATACTTCTCCACGAACCAAGAAATCTCTTCAAATAAAACTCAAATGTACGCCTTGTCTCATCATATCTCAATTTTTCTACACGTCTTTCCTCAACACATT